CTACCCACGTTCAATCTCTGGTAGGCTAGAGCCTTTCGAGCCTAATGGCTCCGCCGCCTATGATCACCACCTTTATCAAACAATAAAGATGATAATAGTGTATGTACAGCAACAGTATCCACCAATGGAAACACAACAAGAATTCCTTTTGCTACTATTCAAAGTGATAAAAGAGTATTAACACATGAACAGAGGAAGTATTTGCAATTACTATTTACTATTTCTATGGCATTTTTCATTTCACTAGCTAGTGTGTAAAAAGATGGAAAATCATCAGAACGTGAGAACAAATTTGATTGAATAGTTTTGATACTTTAATGTTATCATAGAGAAAAAGATAAAAGGAAAAAACATAGTACTGATTATATCATAGACGCGACGTTTCGATGAAAGAATAAAATAATGCACCGGGTTTACAGGATTTACTGTCCATTGGTTGTTTTTCTTAAAAAATTGTTTTTTTTTCTACAGAAAGTAGAATTTTTGCTGCTGAGGATTTGCTGTCCATTGATTACCTCGAAGAATAGAAATGAATAGAAAAATATTTATCACAATCAACTATGTATATTTAGGAAAAAAAGAATTCAAACAAATATATGAGGAAATAACAAAGAGAATAAGGAATTGATTAATAAATAAACCAAAAAAGATGAATGGGCGTTCAACTTTTTGGTGGACGCTGAAAATATCTAAGTCCAGCAGCTTTTAAGAATGATGGAATATCGAGACGACCTTCATCATAACGCTGCCATAATTTAATTAAACATTCATATGTTATAACTTTACTTTTCGACGCTTTGGAGTTGGAGCTCCCATATTATCCCGTAATCTTGAAATAGATGCTAACGATTGTTCTTTTTGCAATAAATCAATTGCAACATAAATATTGGGATGCGGAGCATTTACATGCTTCTTCAACTATACGATCAATAGGACTAGATTCTTCGATAACTTTTCGTTTTAAATTTTGTCGCATTTCTAATACTTCTTTATCAGTTTCGTCAGGTAGATGTGAATGATCTTCACGAACAATTACTGATAAATCTATGTAACTTGTAGCTGTTGTTTGACATTTAACACATATCCAATTTTCCGAACCATTTTGATTCTTACGTTTCAAAGAATATCAATAACCGAGGTAGCATAATTGTCGTTTACCATGGGTAGATTCAGTAAATAAATATAGCAGACATTTTTAGGAAGAGTATGATAAGAAAATTATATTCTTTGAATTTATATATATTTTTTATAAATTTTTGTCATATTAATGGCTATTTTACACCCCAATTTGATGAGCATCCCTCATTTAAATTGAAAATTTATTTCATAGTTCGCTCATTGGTGACTTTTTTGTTTTTCAACATTTATGTAATTTTTTGTTCAGAAAAGGGATTGATTGTCAAGACCATTACTCATTTATTAATTTCTCTTCTTCGAAGCAATTAATGGACAGTAAATCCTCAACCAAAAAATACACTAATTGAAATATTCTATTTTTCCAATCAATGGACAGTAAATCCGTGGACAGTAAATCATGTACACGAATGCACCAATCACTATAGCCGGTAGTGTATTTTATTGACTGATACCCGGGAATTTTCTTTTCTTTATAGATAAATTTAACGTTGAATTGGAAGTTCACTTTTTTTTTAAATATTTTTTACTGACTTAATGTAAACACACTATAAATGAAACGTTAAAAATAAATTTAGTAAAATTACTATATAAAAAAACCTATCTTGCTTATTTTATCTTTTAGAAGTTACTCGGACTGAATGCATATGGACAATGGCTACTGCTCAACTTGGATTTTCGTTTAATTCATCACAATTTTTATCAGAAATGTTCCGATCTATGTTTCCTGATAGTCAAATTGCTGTTGATTATTCATTACGTGAACGAAAATTATCTTATGTTATTTCACATGGAACTGGTTATTATTTCACCAATGAATTGATTAAAGATGTACGTAAAGCTTATGGGTTTTCGTTGCTTTTTGATGAAACAAGTATTGCCGGTGTTCGTAAACAATTGGATATTTTTTTTCGATATTGGTCAGAAGCTAAAAATTGTATATGTGTTCGATTTTACAAAAGCATCATTCTTGGTCATGTTACCGCTGATATTATTTCTCGATCTATTATTGATTCATTGAAAGCTGATGGAATCGATATTACAAAAATGTTGATGCTTGGTATGTTGTCCTTTTTATCCTTTTCTCAGAACATATATTTTATTCGTATAGGAAGAGATAATCCAAATGTGAACAAGGCAATAGAAGAAATTCTTAATAAAGAAATAATCGCCGAGAGAAAAAAAAGTAATGATTCTTTATTTTTTTTAGTATCTTTATTTTACTGAATATCGTTCAATAGATTTTCATTTGTGTCAGTATTTGGTCTTATTTCAATTGGCTCATGTCCATTACATGTTATTCATGGTTATTTTCGAAAATGAATTAAATCCACATCATGGTTTATTGATGAAGCACTTAATGATATGTGGTTCTGGTTTTCTCGTTCTGCTGCTTGTCGACAAGATTTTAAATTAGTTGATAATATAGTATAAATGAAATTTATTCTCGATCTCTTAATCGTTTTGTTGACACTCGATGGATTGAAGTAGGTTCTGTTATTGAGCGTGTAGTCGATCAATGGAATGTTATTAAAGAATACTTTCTTACATTTTTGCCAACAACAGATAAGAAAATTGAATCGAATGAAAAATACAAAAATATCAAAATTTTATTAAATGATAATTACACTCTTGTCAAATTCTATTTTATTCTGTTCCTATATCGAACATTATTTAAAAAAGTGCTTGTATGGTTGCAACAAGAACAACCATTAATATATTTGCTATATGGTGAATGTTACAACTTATTACGTAATGTGTTGTTGTCATTTGTTAAAGAAGAAGTTTTGAAAGATAAAGAAGGAATTCAACTATTGTCTGTTTCTTTCAATCTGTAAAACAATCAAAAGAATAATCTAAATATTGATATTGGTGAAAGTACTCGAACGTATATCAACAATTTATCGGTTAATGAAAAAGTAATCTTTTTTCAAGATGTTCGACAAATCTGTTGTACAATAACAGTAAGTTATTGATGCAAAATATATATCTGATATTATTTTGATGTTTCAGAAAGAATTGATTAAATCATTACCAATAAAAAATGATTTTTTACGACATTTGCAATGTCTTCAACCTTCAGCACGAAAAGAACAATTTTCTAGAACCAGTATCATGTATCTTGCACGAAATCTTCCACATTTATTAACCAATGAAGAAGTGGATCGAGTTGGTGCTGAATGGCGTGTTTATGAAATGGCTGATACATCTGAAGATTGGATTAAAAACAAGTACCAATTCGTTGAACAACGTTGTTGAATATGTACCAATTGATAAATATTGGTATCATGTTTTTTCTACTCATACAACAATTGGTACACCACAATATGTAACATGAACCAAACTCATCAAATGCTTGTTGTCTTTATCACATGGAAACAGTGATGTGGAGAGAGGCTTCTCTCAAAACAATCATCTTGTATCGGATGATCTTTCATCTTTAAATGAAGCATCTATCAATGGTTTACGAGTTACAAATGCTGGTGTTAAATTCTTTGGTGGTGGTAAAGTTCATATGGTAAATGCACATTTGATTTATTCGAAATCGGATAATTGGTTTTTAAGGTACCAACAACAGCTACTTTAATTTCGAATGTACAAGAAGCTTATTCACGTTATATGAAAGATAATGAAGAACACCAAAAATTAATTAAACAAATTGATGTTGTTAATGGAAAACGTGCTTCTGATGCTGAACATGAACGATTAGAAGAAAACAAAATCGAATTGTTAAATAAACAAAAGAATTTATAACAAGAATTAATGAATGCAACTAAAATGTTGGAGGAAGGGAGTGTAAGACTTGCTACAGCTTTGAGCAATAAGACATTTGATGATGTTGGTACAGCTGAAGTACTTGTAACAGGTGCTAATGCTAAATTAGCTATTTTGAAAACTCAATTAATTGAGAATAATGGAAATTTAAACCGAATGAGAAAAAAACAGAAAAAATGAATGATTAAAGTGAACATTATAATTTATACATTGTATCTTTTTTTGTTTAAGATATTCTATAATATTTTTCTATGCATTTTGAAAATAACCTAATTAAGATGAAAATACAACATGCCATGACCAAGTAGATCTAGGCCCTATGGGCATGAATCATGAAAAATTAGGAGAAAATCAGGAAAGTAGTATGGCTGCGAGGCCTGGATATTTTTAAGAAATCCTTTCTCAATGTCTATTCAAAACGTGCATACTTCTATCGATGGCAGAGATATCCATCGTGGTTAGAAATCTGCTACTGTTGCGACGCGGTAAACTATATAAAAACTTGTCGCTGCCGTGATGATTTTTGAGAAATTCTACAAAAATATCTTCCGTCACTGTTCCAAATTAGCACAGTTGGATTGAATCCATGAGACTCAATCTCTATTCTGACTGTTGATCTTGTAGCAACTCAAATTGAGTGCAAATTTATCCAATTTTACAATCTCAATAGAAAAGAAGCTGCTACTGTCATGATAGTACTCTTGAAATATCTTCCGCGCCGCGATGATTTTTAAAAAACTTCCACTACCGCGCTGCTAACGCCGTCACAGTGTTGGTAGTGCCACTATGAACATCTCCGATCGATGGGCAAATATAGGGAAAAACGAATGGAATATCAAACAAGAAAAATTCATTAAATAGAATTGATAGAAGAAGGGGGGAGGACAATAAGATGGTTGAAGAGGGTGCAGGTGGAAAGGTACGGATAGTTGCTATAGTAGCACGAAGTTCGACTGTTAATTGAGATATTTGCGTAGAAACATAAAGGCAAAAAATCTTGTACTTGAGTATCCAAGTGGTGAACCATTTGATTCAGTGCTTGATACTTAAGTTCATGAGTTTTAGATAGATTATTTACTTGATCATTAAGATTCTGTTCAAGTTGAGTCACCGTAGACTGTACAGTGGTTAATGTAGTTTCGATAGAGATGGTACGTACTGTTTCATTGTGGAGTCGATCCCGAAGACTAGTGAGATAATCTTGTAGTTTCTGCTCGTCAGAATCAGTCATAATGAGAATATGCTACTAGTAACGTTGAAAAACACAAAGAAAAATGAGGAACAAAATAATAGAAGAAAAAAAATAGTTAATTAAAGCAAAAACGCTTGGGAGAAAAAAGAAATAACCGAAATTCGATAGATGTCATGGAAGGACTCACTCGTTTCCACTTTATTGTATCAAGAATGAATGTGTATATCTGCGATACAAGCAATGATAAGACAAACACAGCATAGACAACATGAGAAAAGATAAGAACTAAATACACATATATGTTAGAAGAGAAAGAGATAATTAATAGATGTGTACNATTTTTATAAAAATCAGGAATTATAAACTTTATTGTAATATTGCTTTTGTTGGAATCAAATCTAATAAAAGTGGCTGCAATAGTCATGGCTAGTTACAATTAAAATATAGGTTGCTGCAGTAAATACTAAGATTGGTTAAAATAGAATCAATTATATTCAGATACATACACTTTTCCTCCTGTACCATTTATTTCTTTTCGTTCTCTTTCATTCTCATGGTTTTATTCTAATTTGTTATTCTCTCTCCATATATAAAACAACCATGTTATAGCGATTCAATTTTAAACAATGTACTCCTTAAAACTAGACTTTTTCAAATGCCGAAAAACACAGCATTTTGTTCAAAATGGTTGCAAAAATTAGATAATACTGGTAGAGTGTGTTCTCGATGGCTTAAAAAAGGTAAAACTACCAGTTCATTCCAATGTATTGTATGTCGCACAGATGATCTTAGCTGTGCTAATGGAGGATGGACTGATATAAAAAAACATTTTGATCGACCAAAACATATTCAATGTATGAAGGACGTGTTCGGTTCTGTTTCACTTATTGCATCAAATGATCAATCATCAACTTTATCAAACAATACAGATGCTAATAGTGTATGTACAGCAATATTCTCCACAAATGAAAATACAACAAGAATTCCTTTTGTTACTATTCAAACTGATAAAAGAGCATTAACACATGAAGAAAGTAAGTAACTGGAATTACTATTTACTATTTTTATGGTCTTTCCATTTCACTAACTAGTGTATAAAAAGATAGAAAATTATCAGAATGTGAGAACAAATTTGGGTGAATACTTTTAGATACTTTAATATTATAATAGAGAGAAGGATAAAAGGAAAAAAAACATAATATTGATTATATCATAGACACGACGATTCAAAAGAATAAAAGAATGCATCGATCACTATAGCCGGCAGTGCATTTTAATGAGTAATGTCTGGAATTTTCTTTTCTCTGCAGATAAATTTAATGTTGAATTGAAAGTTCATTTTTTTGAAATATTTTTTTACTGACATAATGCATACACACTATAAATAAAACGTTAAAAATAAAGTTAGTAAAATTATTATATAAAAATCCTATCTTGCTTATTTTATCTTCTAGAAGCTACTCGGGCTGAATGCATATGGACAATGGCTATCGCTCAACTTGGATTTTCGTTTAATTCATCACAATTTTTACCAGAAATTTTCCAATCAATGTTTCCTGATAGTCAAATTGCTGCTGATTATTCATTACGTCAACGTAAATTATCTTATGTTATTTCACATGGAACTAGTTATTATTTCACCAATGGATTGATTAAAGATGTACGTAAAGCTTATGGGTTTTCGTTGCTTTTTGATGAAACAACTATTGCCGGTGTTCGTAAACAATTGGATATTTTTTTTTTCGATATTGGTCAGAAGCTAAAAATTGTATATGTGTTCGATTTTACAAAAGCATCATTCTTGGTCATGCTACTGCTGATATTATTTCTCGATCTATTATTGATTCATTGAAAGCTGATGGAATTGATATTACTAAAATGTTGATGCTTGGTATGTCGTCTTTTTTATTCTTGTTTCAGAACATATATTTCATTCGTATAGGAAGAGATAATCCAAATGTGAACAAGGGAATAGAAGAAATTCTTAATAAAGAAATAATTGCCGAGAGAAAAAAAAAGTAATAATTCTTTATTTTTTTTTGCTATTCTTATTTTACTCAATATCGTTCAATAGATCTTCATCTATGTTGGTGTCTGGTCTTATTTCAATTGGTTCGTGTCCATTACATGTTATTCATGGTTCTTTTCGAAAAGGTATTAAATGTACGGTATGGTTTATTGATGAAGCACTTAATGATATGTGGTTTTGGTTTTCTCGTTCTGCTGCTCGTCGACAAGATTTTAAAATAGTTGCTAATAATATAAATGAAATTTATTGTCGATTCCTTAATCGTTTTGTTGACAGTCGATGGGTTGAAATAGGACCTGTTATTGAGCGTGTAGTCGATCAATGGAATGTTATTAAAGAATATTTTCTTATATTTCTACCGACAACAGATCAAAAAAATTGAATCGAATGACAAATGCAAAAAAATCAAAATTTTATTAAATGATAATTCTACACTAGTCAAGTTTCATTTTATTCTTTTCCTATATCGAACATTATTTAAAAAAGTGCTTGTATGGTTGCAACAAGAACAACCATTAATACATTTGCTATATGGTGAATGTTACAACTTATTACGTAATTTATTATTGTCTTTTGTTAAAGAAGAAACTTTGAAAGATAAAGAAGGAATTCAACTATTGTCTGTTTCTTTTGAGCTGCAGAATAATCAAAAAAAATAATATAGATATTGATATTGGTGAAAGTACTCGAACGTGTATCAATAATTTATCGGTTAATGAAAAAGTGACCTTTTTTCAAGATGTTCGAGAAATCTATTGTACAATAACGGTAAATTATTGATGCAAAATATATATTTGATATTATTTTGATGTTTCAGAAAGAACTGATTAAATCATTACCAATAAATAATGATTTTTTACGACATGTACAATGTCTTCAACCTTTGGCACGAAAGGAACAATCTTCTAGAACTAGTATCATGTATCTTGCACGAGATCTTCCACATTTATTAACTAATGAAGAAGTAGATCAAGTTGGTGCTGAATGGCGTGTTTATGAAATGGCTGATATACCTGAAGATTGGATTAAAAAAAGTACCAATTCGTTGAACGACGTTGTTGAATATGTACCAATTGCTAAATATTGGTATCATGTTTTTTCTATTCGTACAACAATTGGTACACCACAATATGTAACATTAACTAAACTCGTCAAATGTTTGTTGTCTTTATCACATGGAAATAGTGATGTGGAACGAGGTTTCTCTCAAAACAATCATCTTGTATCTGATGAACGTTCATCTTTAAACGAAGCATCTATCAATAGTTTACGAGCTACAAATGCTGGTATTAAATTCTTCGGTGGTGGAAAAGTTCATTTGGTAAATATACCTTTTATTTATTCGAAACCTGATAATTGTTTTTTAAGGTACCAGCAACATCTGCTTTACTTTCGAATGTACAAGAAGCACATTCACGTTATGTAAAAGATACTGAAGAACAACAAAAATTAATTAAAAACATTGATATTGTTGATGGAAAACATGCTTCTGATGCTGAACATGAACGATTAGAAGAAAACGAAATAGAATTGTTAAATGAACAAAATAATTTACAAAAGGAATTAATGAATGCGACTAAAATGCTGGAAGAAGGGAGTACAAGACTTGCCACAGCTTTGAGCAATAAGGCATTTGATGATGTTAATACAGCTGAAGTACTTATAACAGCTGCTAATGCTAGATTAGCTGTTTTGAATACTCAATTAATTGAGAATAATGAAAACTTAAACCGAATGAGAAAAAAACAGAAAAAATGAATGAGTAAACTGAATATTAATTTATATATTGTATTTTTTTCCTGAAGATATTCTAATTTATAATATTTTTCTAGGCATTTTGAAAATAAACTAATTAAAATAAAAATACAACATGTCATGGTCAAGTAGAAATAGCCCTATCGAGATAGATCATAAAAAATCAGGAGAAAATCAGGATTTTCCAACGAAAACAGGAAAAAAATAATGTTTTCAAAAAATCAGGAAAAAGCAAGGAAAGTAGTACGGCTGCGAGGCCTGCTTATATCAAAAATGATGCCAAAGATCCTCATCTTTCTTTTTATTTAAATGAATATTAAGTTACAAGACATAAAGAACCTAATTTTATATCGACTTGAAATACATCTATTTCAGATTTGATAAACATAAACCGATCGTAACATTCTTTATAAAACTTTTATTTTCTACTCAGACAAATACACCACGTTATGGCATGAGCTTAAGTCATACCATAAAAGATTTTTAACTTATGATTGATCTAACAGATCAATATTGAATTTCTGCTTGATTTTTTAAACGATCACTTATCTATATGTAAATAATCTAGGAAAAAATAAAAACATTTCGAAAGAAACACGAACATGAGAAAAAAATGTTCGAACAATATTATAGGAAGAGAATGTTTTTGAAAATAACTAAAGGTAAAGAAGAGACTACATATATGTATAACGTACTTGTCATCTGTGCTACGTGGTAGAAACGATGATAGAAAGAAAAAAAAATATTCAAGGTAATTCAATCATTGTATAGAGGAGAGAAAGAAATATATTTTTTTACACTGTGTGATTTTTCTGTGGAGTATGTGTTTTTCGCTTATTGTGCAATTACATGTAGATAAATGCGTACATGTGGGTGAAAGTATTCTCTTCATTAATACTCTCTCACACTTGCATTCACACTGTCAACAAGTCGATTAGATTTAGCCCTCAATAGATATGATTTAAACATTTCGTATGCATTTTAGAGAATCATTGTGATGAGAATATTGAATGAATTTCAGTTGCAAATCTTAAACTTTGACCATGGGAAAGAAAAGAAGAAGATGAATTGATAAATTTTTTCAATAAAACGAAAAAAAGATAAAAATCAATAAATTGAATTTATTTTTGTAATAATTAATCACAAGGATATAGTTAATATATTTTGTTTTTAAATTAATTTAAAATATAGATTTTTTTTTTTTTTATTAGAATATTGTTTAAATAAATTAATTAATCAAGAGATTTAATTAAAACGATTATTGATAGATATTTTAATTTGATAAACGAATAAAAAACATAATTCAAGGACATTATTTTTTTAATTGAGATAATCACTTTTATTTATTATATTTTTTCATTTTAATTAATATTTACATTCAATAAGATTTTGTGCAAGTAAATTCTTTTCGAAGAAAAAAAAATCAATCACAGACTTGTAACTCTTTCCTCTTCCGTCTCTATTATAAAACTTAACAAACGGAATTAAGTCCTCTCAACAAAATTTATAACAAAATTTACAAGATTCTACTTAGAATATTCAAGAATCTTCTTTAAAATAATAATGAATTCAATACCTTTTTCAATATTCTAAATAAGATGATTTGGCATTTTTCTGAAGATAATCATTTCTATTTAAGATGTTAACCATTATGGATGAACATACATTGATTTGATACAGTTCTTCTATGATAAACATTAAACTTTTCAATTTATCAAATTAGAACTGTGAAATATAATAAATATAATGGCGCGTTGGAATCTGTTGATTGATATGTAATGTGTATCTCGAAGAGACGTATTTGCTATTGAATTCAATACCTATTATAATAAAAAAATTAAATAAAGAAACCCAAAATGTGTAAAATAGAAACAATGATAAAATATGAGCAGTACAAATGAAAAAGTTGGGCGTCTCTTAAAAAAGAATATTTCTGTTCGAAATACGAAAATGAGATCTTTCTCTCTCAATTACTTATGTTTTTTTATAAATTATAAAAATCAACAAATTTTGATTAAGACATATGAGTTTAACATTTGACTCACATGAAAGCTGTATTAACAATCTTTTTCTTATATTATTTCTCGAATACATCAGTAAAATAATATTATATTGTAATAATTTTATTTTTTTTTTAGAATTTTTCTTATTTACTTGAAGTAATTCTATTTCTTTTTCTAAGTACATAATTCTATATTGTACAGTTCAAGGTGATTTCAGGTACTAAATGTAAATATGAATGATAATTAAACAGTAAAAAAAAAGAAAAGACTAATTATTTGAATAGATAAAAACAGAAAAAAAGAAATCTATGTAAATATCATGCATGCTGTCGAATTTTTACTAGGAAAATATAACGATCTTATGGGAAAAAAATGTAAAATATGCATAAATGACGACGTTCGTTTCGGTTGATTGAAATTGCAAACGTCATAGATAAACCATATATATACTGAAGGTTTTCTTCAGTAAGTAATCAATTGGTATCAAACATTTATACATAAATACAAAATGGCCGAACAACAAAGAATCGAAAATCAATTTAATCGTGCTGATTTAAATCGTGATGGAACAATTGATGAACAAGAATTTCGACGATTTCTTGGACCAGTTAGAGATGAAAAAAGATTATCTGGAAATGTTAATTATCATGATATTCAACAAAATGTAAGTTTTATTCTCTTATTTAAATATTCTTTCATAAATAATTTTCAATAATATATAGTTTCAAATATCTAATGCAACTCAAGTAATAACATATCCAGTTGGTCTTGATGTAGCTCTTGCTGGTTTTACATCAAATCCAATAGATTATGAAAAATATACGATTGGTAATCATCCATCAGGAGCTCATACATATGGTGTTGGTCCTGATGTTGGTATTGGGGCACCAAATGTCGCTAGAAAAAGCAATCAATATGATCCAGCTGGTGCGATGTTTGATTATGCTGATTTCAATCGTGATGGAAGAATTGATAAATCTGAATTTGGATCATTTATGCGTTCGATGTAAATTCTAGTTTTCTGAAAAAAAAGAAATTTTTGTGCTTCATTTCTTCTATTTGATTGCTTTGCTTCGAATTTATTCTCTCTAAATTATCTTCCATATTTCTTTATTAAAAATAAAAAATATTCATTTATGAAATAAAATTCAAATATCTATGCTTCATATTTCATACATTTGTTTTTTCAACATACGAAAATGAACATTTTCTTGTGTATAGCAACAATTAAATTTATATAAAACCCAGCAATTGAGAATTGGACCAATCGATAGGGAAATTGTTCTTGTTTAACGAGTAATAGTTCACGCCTACATGCATTCAAGCATATCAAGGAGAAACGAAAAAAAAAAGAAGAGCATATAAACATATAACTATCATGTTTAAT